TTTAATATGTTTAGTTTAAGCAACATTAGATATCAAAAAAAGCAAAAAATAGGATTTTTACTCTTGATTCTACTCTTTTTTTTTCTGTGTGACTTTGGAATGACTTCCATAGGGGCAGTGTACCTGTCATATTTGACACCTAAAATAGATCATTTTTAACACCCCCACCAGACAAAAATTTTTAAATAATAATCCTGGCATTAAAGAATAATGATAAGAAAAAATGCAGTTAGTGTTTTTTTTAACTTCATGTAAAATAATCATACCAGTAAAAAAAGTTTTTTTAATTTAAAGTACTATAACACCAAGAGAAAAAAGAGATTATTAATTTTAAGTACATTAATATAGTTTTTGAAAAATAAGAGGGGAAGACTTATATCTACCTATATATTGGTCAGTTACAATAGTAATAATAATATTCTGGTTTCCTTTTGATTCTTATGCAAATGTGTTAATGACTATCAAATTGATTTTTGCATATGTAACTTAAATAGTATAGACAGATTTATCAATCTATCTTGACTCATAGTTGATTGAAAATACTTTTCATTATAAATAGTTTGGAACAGTTTTAAACATAAGAATAAGACTGAAAGAGCTTCATAAAAATCACTTTACAATAAATGACAAAAATTGTAATACTCTCTTTGTTTCTTTGGAAACTATTATAGTGGCTCCTAATGTCTGCATAGTATAAAAATTTTTAATATTAATAAAAGCATATACAAATTTAAGTACAAAAAATGGTAATATAGAATGATAGATTTGAACTAATTTAGATTTTATGTCTGCAGTTGGTCTATCATTGTTTAAATGAAGTTGGAGAGGCTGAGCATCCAAAGAAAGCTGAAATGATTCCGAGCTACTGGAAATTTATATTTGAAATGAACATGTATAGCTGACTTGAGTTTTGTCCAGGATTGGCTGTGTAACTGGGAGTCCTTTAAACTTCAGTGTAGAATACAAAGTTTATTAAAGATTAAACAATAAAAATATGTTAATTTGTAACATATTAAAATTCAACAGTAACCTCAGCAATTTTTAAGAACTTAGACCAAAGAAAGATTTTTGGTTTAGGAATATTTTATCACTGACATTACCCAGTATTGTCAGTGCCTCGTGGTAATAAAAAAGTCTTCCAGTTGTTGGTGCCATTGATTTAAATTCTGTACAGACAATGTACCCTCTTATTGCTTGCACCCAGGGCAGAGCTCTCCCACCCTCCTGCTGTTGGTATGCCACTAGTACCTATTGTAACATTATTGAAAAAAGAAAGCTTCAGACCATCATATGTAATGTGACTTTATTTTATCATTGTTTAAGAAATATGTTTGTATAAGCATAGGAAAAAATCTGTGAGTACCCCTCAAACTATTAATAATACTAGAAAAAAGGATACTAGGGAAAGGATTGATGTATGTGTAGCAGTAGAGGGCAACAATCACTTTCTCTTAGACTTGTATGAATCTGTTTGAATATAACCGATGAGATAGGATTTTAAATGTATTTTAATTAGAGGAATCCTAATTTCAGACTAAATCTTACACAGAACCCCATTTATTAAACATAAAAGTTTTAAATGTATTTTAATTAGAGGAATCCTAATTTCAGACTAAATCTTACATAGAACCCCATTTATTAAACATAAAAGCAGAATTATTGTGTTTGAAGTAGTGATGTGCATAGGCATGATCTACAGTTAGCTCAGTATTTATAAAAGATTTTTCTTCATTTCTGAGAGTTTGTTTTAGTTGTAAAAAGATTCATTGGCATGTTCACCTAGATCTTTGGATTTTATAACTTCCTAATGTATGAACTGGGATGCATGCTAATGGTAGAATGGTTTCTGTGGAATTGAAGAACTATTTTGGCACTCCAGTAGGGGGTGGGATCTTTGCCGCTTTGGATTAAGCAACAGTTCAGCTCCTTGTTAGTCTATTCTAGTAAAATTATAGCTGTCCAGACTGCATTTCCTTACATTTTGAATAGATATACCCTAAGATAATCTTCATTCCTATTGGCTTAGAATACTTTTTAACTTTCTTGAAGGTGATATGTAAGATGTAGCTAATTAGGGGTTTTTCTATTATATGCAGTAAAACCTGATAGGTAAAGTTGGGTAAATTACATTCAGAATCAGAAGAGCTTTTCATTAATATTGCAATATTTGTAAATAGACTTTGTGGTATCACTTTTTTTTGTTACTTATAAATGTCGTACATAGAGTTCTCAACTAAGTTTCAGGTAAATGTTATTCCAGGTAGTGAGTTTTATTTATATGTGAAGACCACAATATTGTCAATACATGAATGTAAAAACTTTGCTACTTGTTAGGAAGAATGCCAGATTGAATAGCAGTTATTGTTATAAAAGTGGGAGACTAAGGAAAGATAGAGTGACTTCCTGAACTTCTTGGTAAGAAAGAAAGACTAGATTTTCACCTTCTTTCCACCTGGGCTATGAGGCCAAGGAGTGATCTCTTATGTGAAATAGCTACTTTGGATATATGTATCTCTAGTCGTAATATTCTGAAACTATAAAATAGAGATACTGATATTTGGTAACATCTTAATTAAAATCTTTTCTTATAGCAAAATAGTAAATAGTAGAATCATCAAGGAAGATTGACTTGAAAATGGGAACAAGAGGAGGAAACTATTAGTTTTATTTGTGTTGCTTTTATTTGAATCATTACAAGAATCTATTTGTAAAATTAAATTACTAAAACTAAAGAACGAAACAGTTTTATTTGTGTTGAATTATTACAAGAATTTGAATTATTTTTTGAATTATTACAAGAATTCATTTATAAAATTATTACAAGAATTTATTTATAAAATTAAATTACTAAAACTAAAGAACAAAAAACTTAGGGAGGATAAAAAGTGGTTTGATCTGCCTTCCAGATGCTTTGCTTATGATTTATATAATAATAATATTTACCTTTTATTAAGCACCACAGGCACTGAGCTAGGAACTTAGCATGTATTACTTCTGGTCTTCATAAATATTATATATGAATATAAAGCATTATTTTTATCATTTTAAAGTTAAGCTAACTTGCTCAGGTCATGCAACTGGTAACAAGAGAACCATAATTTGAAGTAAGATTTATCTGCCTCCCAATCTTCACTTTTTTCCATTGAGCTGCACTGGATAAAGTGCTGCCCAGTAATAGAAAGTGGAACCAGGGCTGTTGCTTTGTGGTCCAAATCACAGGGTCAGCTGAGCCAATTGTGATGTTTTGATTAAAAAGAAAAGAATAATCCATTAAACAACATCTGAGTATGGATGTTAATATTCTCTGTATTTATTAAAAATTAATTTACAACTAAAGCAAGATACTATTTTGAAGAAGTTTACTTGCATATTTTAGTCTGATGTCTTTTCTCTTAGAATATAATAGTTTTTGCAGAAGTTCCATGAAAAGTTTAGTGAACTCTTCATTTTTTATTCATCTTTTGGAGAATTATAATCCATGAAGCTAAAAAGTTAAAATATAATGTTTCGAATTTTGCTTAACATGCTTCCCAAATTTACTGGATCACAAAATCCCTCCCTAACCCACTCTCCTCAGTAATGCCTGTTTAGATCCTAAGGGTTTGTGGGACTTCAGGCTCCCTTCAACCTCTTCACTTGAAAAGTCTCCATGCTGAGGAACTTCAGATAAGATTGGCAGAAAAAGCTCTTGCAACAGACTTTTTTTTTTTTTCTATAGTGAAAGGAACTTCTAGTTTCTCTGGAAAGATCTGATTTGTACTTTGTGATAGAAAAGGCATAGGTATTAAAAGACCTAAGTTTGAATCTACTTAGTAGTTGAGTGACCATGGAGAAGTAAATTAGTGTCTTTAAGCTTTCATTTCTTCATCTGTAGAATGAGAATAATATAATCTTAAAATAGGGGTTTTTAGAAGTAGATAAGATATACAAAACGACTAGCAGAAATATGCATTTCGTAGGTACTTAGATCTTGATGGCTTAATCAGCTCTTCATCCTGCTTTTCATCGTGACCCAGATGAGAGAGAAAATAGAACAGCAAGGACATTATGAGCAGCATGAAAAACCGTTTTTATCTTTTTCCTGTTAACTATCTGGTGGCCAGCATCTGAGTTACCAGTATCTAAGTACACCAGGTGCCCTATTTAAAGCGCTGACTTTAGTTGCTTTGTAGTTTGCATCTGTCACAGTTTTTGCTTATTTGTTTTATAGGACTTAGCTTGTATCGAAACTTCTAAAGACATGTATGTAGAATATTTGAGGCAAGGACATAGAGTTATTTTTATACTCTTTCTATTTAGCTCAGTGTTATAAATATTCAAAGATAATTAATAATTGAAATTATACCAAATGTATGCCTTTTTTACTTATACATTGTTTCATCTTTATTGTGGTACTCAAAAGAAAAAATTTTTTCATCCTCATATAGAAATATTAAGGAGCATCTCAAGAACTTAGACATTTGACAACAGATGCTTTTGGTGTTTATTTGCTTTAAGGAACGGAACTGAACCAGAAGAATTTTCTCGCATTCTCTTCCAGTGATTTAATAATGCGTGATTCTTTTTAATATGCCTAAAAAGTCTTTTATATAAGACATGCATTTTAATTTCCTATAATAATGATTCTTTGGCCATATATTCTTTAAACTTGATTTAAAAATTATATGCAGTTAAATGGAATTTGAGAAGAAAAAGAGATATGAAAATTTACTTAAATTGTGTCTGGTTTTGTTATTTAAAGATATTAGACATTTTTGAAATTTCAGAAATGTGAATATCCATGGTCAGTCATAGGAAGAGAATAAACCTTAGCCTTAGATGTTTCTAATATATCATGTTCTTATTGGTCATTAAAAGTGTAATGCAATTTTATCATTGTGACTTTCAAGCTGATTGCTATATTAACCAAATATCAAGAGGTAAAGTAATGTTTGTCTCTTCTGCATAGAAAAATACTTGTCTGGAAAATGTCACGTGACTTTCACATTTTCTTTTCTCAGATTTATAATGACCATTTAATAGCTAATGAAAAACAGCATGTAACCCAGTGGGAGGATTTCATGAAAGAACAATACAACAAACAGGCTGAAGTGGATGAAGAGCACAGAAAAGCTATGGAGAGGCTTAAAGAACAATATGCCGAGATGGAGAAGGACCTAGCAAAATTTTCAACCTTTTAAGAACTTGAACCACAATAATAACAAACCAATGAGAAAACATTGACTTCCCCCAAAAAACTGTTCCCGCCAAACCATTTAGCCTCTGCTTCAAGCTCAACAGTATATTCAGTGGCACTCTTATATCGAAAGAAACTTTTACTGGAGTCTTCATTAAATGTTTAATGGAAGAGTGCTACATTTTTTTCAGTTTTAAGTGCCTATATATGATTGTTTGAAGGGGCAGGAGTAGGAGGGGAAAATGAGATAAATTTACTCTTTGTTAATGAGAATTGGTCTTCTTTTCCATTGATTATCTCAGAACTGTAAGTATAGACTTAGAAAAATAATTAAGTCATTCTTATACAGGGTTAATATTAGTTATTGTGGCTTAGAAAGCATATAAAATAGCTGCCTGTTATAGCCTCTATGGCTATTGGAAAATATATAAAGTGTTATTTCATGAGTAAGCAGACAAAAACAACTGTCCATGAAACAGAGATCACATTTAAGAGAGGTGAGAGTCAAAACCTTGTCTCCACTGTGGCACAGATGGCCATGTTGGTCTTTGAAACGCCTTTTGGGAAAGGTTACAGATTTTGTATTTTGCAGTGCAGCATAATGCCACGTATTTCACTGGATGGCAAGATAGGCTTAAGTTTTGTGGCCTTCCAGCACTTAATGTATTCAGGTTTTAAAACATGCTTAGAAGGAAAACTTACCAAAAATATAGTTGACTTTTAGCCTTTCAAAGAACTGTAATCTTGCCCAGAGTATTTACCTCATTTTTGTGTCTTTTGCTGTGGGTAAGCTTTGTAAGATAAAAATATCTATACCTGTGTCAGCTGTTCAGTGAGTAATTAGCAAAATCTGCCAAGGAGTCCCTCTGGAACCAGAGAAAGATTCTGGTTCTGAGTATACCAGAGGTATTTGTCCACATGGCAAATGATCTGTGTTAAATGTAAGTCCTTTTTAGTGTTTAATATCTGTTCTCATAAGCAAGTGTATTATGATGAAACGTATACCAATTCTATCATCACTGTGATCTTTAAAAAAATCTGTAGTTGATAGTTTAATGGAGGAACTAAGCTGATTTTTTATTTGCCATAAATCTTGAGAAGCAAGATTAAATGCAATAATTTCAAGAGTTTTATGACAAATGAATTTGAGGTATGGATAAATCTTTTAAATATTTTGTATTGCTCTTCAGTAAAGAAAGGCACAAGAAAGAAAATACCCAGCTCTGTCATATTATCTCAGCGTTGCTAGTGCAGAAAGCTAACAATGCTTACTTGTGTAAATTTATGGCTTACTGTCAAAGCTTCATTCTTGGCTGCATGTTGAAAATGTGATTAAAGTTAATAGAGGAGATGAAATAAGTATTTGAGATTTCTTTCAATAACACTGAACTTCTGCCAACTTTCTCCGTCCGCTACTGTAGGCTTGACAGGTTCATCAATCATTCTCTGGTACCTGGACTAAAAAGAGCACTTGCTGACACTAAGGCATGTTGGAATTTTCTTAATTCTCTTTCAGTGAATGTGGGGAAAAATACTTCTAAAAATATCCCACACATGAAAAGGGAGGGGAACTTAAATGTACCATAGGCTGTATTTGGAATGTTATTAATTGCCACTGCACATTTGAACAGATGCTGTAACCAAGAAATCAGGACTGTTTGAGCAAGAATGTACTTTTAACTGTGGTTACTCAACTTGTGCAACAAGGATTTCTGATAGCGTTTGTTCATCTCATATGAATAATAAATACCGTATGACTTTGTATATGTTATCTAAGGATCTAATGGACTTCAAACACCAAAAAGAATTAATGGGCTTTTGACCTTTAAATGTGAAGATACTAACTTCTTTCTTTGTAACTTCGTTAGCTATTCAGTATAACTTTGAAAAGAGCGGAAATGGTTTGTTTTCCTTTTAATATTTTTAGTAATGAACACTTTCACTTATATTTCCCAGTTTCTAGATCACTTTTGATATGTATTATATACATATATATATATATATAAACTTTTTACCTAGTAATTTCTTAATTTGTAATATATCTGCTGTTTATGATGTTGAGCAGAGATAATGCTCAACATCTGTATAGCTCATAGAATTCTGTGACAAAATAATGTTTTGTCAATTTAAAGTGCTATAGAAATATTTGTTTATAAGTTCTAAGTATTTTCAATTTTTTATTGATTTTTTGACATATGTGTGGGTTTTGTTTCATATCCTAACAAGTAGATTTTTAAATTCTGTTCTTATTGATTGCTGCTTTACTGGGATTGTAGTCACAGAATAGGTTCATATAAAATCGATATGTTGAAATTTGTTTAGATTTGCCTTATGACTTAAAATATGGTCAGTTTTTATAAATGTTTCATTAGTTGAAAGTATACATATTTTCAAGTCATCGGGTGTCCATTAGACCAAACTTGTTAATTGTGTTGTTCAATCTGTCTTTGTTTTACTATTGTTTTTCCTTCTTAATCTTGCAGATTCTGAGATGTGTTTAAATTTCCTAATCTAGTGGATTTTTAAGTTCTGTGTAATTCTGTCAGTTTTTGTTTTGTGTGTTTTGAAGCTTTGTTATTCAGTACACACACATTTAGAATTATCATCCAAGCTTAGAATTGAGTATTTATAGTCATAGCCTCTATTTCTAATAATGTTTTTATTTCATTTTATATTGCTTTGAAATCTATGCTTTAAAAAATATATATACATCTATATGTGTGTGTATATATGTATGTGCGTATATATGTGTGTGTGTGTGTGTGTGTGTGTGTGTGTATATATATATATACACATCTATATGTATACACCACACCAGCTGGTTAGTATTTATGTGGTTTATAGTTCTTTATCTTCCTGTTGAACCTTTCTGCTATGTTTTAGATGTGTCTCAAAAACTGTAACTAGAATTTTTTTCTTTTTATCTGATTATCTTTTACTTGGAGAGTTTAATCCTTCTGCATTTGTGGACCATATTAATATATTAGGGTTTATTTATACCATCTTATTGTGCTTTTTGTCCTGCCTTTTATGTTTCCTCACTGCCTTTATGTTTTTTGTTTTGTTTTGCCTTCTTTCAGATTGATTAAGTTTGTTTTGTTTTTCCATTTCCTGTACTAGTTTAGGAGGTAAAAACTCAATTTTTATTTTATAGTGCGTAGTTAACTTAAAATCTAAAGTTAATATATTTACTCTTTCTAAATATAAGAGGCTTTTGAACAGTCTGATTTTCTCCCCTCAACTTACTAATTAATGTCTAGAATTTTAGTTTTATCTCAGTTTAACTGCAGAAATAGTTACACAGTTAGTATTTGTTTAGACTTACTTATAGGTTTACCACTTTTATTATCCTTGAAAGTTAGCTGGGTATACAATTCTAGATTGACAGTTATTTTTTCTCATTGTTTAATGGTATTATTCAGTTGTCTTCTTACTGTCATTGTTGCTTCTGAAATGCTAGTTGTTGGCGTGATCAGCTCTCATTTGTATCTAATCTGTCTTTTCTCTCATTATATTTAAGGTCTTTATCTTTGGTATTACACAGTCAAATGTCATTATACTACAGTGTGTCCAGCTATGGATTTCTTTTCATTATCATATTTAGATTCATTGACCTTCTTGAATCTGAGAATTAGTGCCTTTCATAAACTCTAAAAAATTCTCAACTTTTATCTTTTTGAATATAGTGCTTCCCCCATTCTCTCTATTTTTTACTTTAGGAAATCAAATTATACTATGTTTTACTGTCTCATTGTTTTCCATCTCTTTATTTTTGATTCATATTTTCTATCTCTTTGTCTCTATGTGTTGAATTCTGGATAATTCTTTAAATCTGTTGTTCATTTCACTAATTCTGTCTTCTCATTGTCTCTAACCTATTTAACCTATCAAATTTTTAATTACAGTTATAATTTTTTCATTTCCAGAAGTATTGTTTGTTTTTTTCTCAAACTTTGCTGGTCATTTGGGGTAGTTGCATTATTCACTCTTTTTCTTTTCTTTAAACATATTAAATATACTTTTTTGTGTGTGGATCTGACTCTAAGTTTATTTGTTGTTTTGTCTCAAACAAGTTTATAGTGACTTGTTTTCTAATGTGATCATTGATTTTGATTGTGGGTTAATATTCATCTGAACTTTATTTTGGAGTAATTTTTGTTTAAAGTATGTTGCTACATATATTTCTATTTCTAGTACCACCAGTTTGTTTCTTGTGGCACTTCAAAGTCAGTTTTCACCTAGAATTTCCTGCCTCTCCCTCCCATTTTTAGCTCATGCACGCTCACATACACTTAGAGGTGATGTGAATTTCATCCTTAAACATACGAGTGTTGGGCTGTGATAAGGTATTCCTAGAGGAGATTTTTGTCTCCCTTCACAGCTCTAGTTCAAGTAAAGAGGAGGATAAACTTTAGATGTTTTCCTAATTTACTCACTGAGAGTGGTGCCCTGGTTCATCAATTCTACTGCTCATCCAGCTCAGTCTCTGTTAAGAACCGAATTGTGTCCCTCAAAATTCACATGTTGAAACCCTAACTCCCAATGTGACTGCATTTGGAGATAGGGCCTTTAAGGAGGTAATTGAAATCATAAGGGTGGGGCCCTAATCTATTAACACTGGTGTCCTTATAAGAAGAGGAAGAGACAACAGAGGACTCTCTCTCTCCACACAGTCTCAGAGAAAAGGTCACAGCAAAAAGGTGGCCATCTGTAACTGGGAAGAGAGACCCCATCAGAAATGGAATTTTCTAGCACCTTGATCTTGCACATCTTCCCTCCAGAACTGTTAAAAGGTAAATTTTGTTCGTTTGTTTCTGCTATGCCATCCATGGTATTTTACTGTGGCAGCCAGAGCAGACTAATACAGACCCAGATCATGATTCTTTCCCCAATGTAGACATGGCTCCTTAAAACTGGAGTCCTTCTGGCTGCAGGGAAGGAGAGATGCCTTTATTATAGGACAATTACAAGTTCTAGAGCTAAATTACCCTATGGAATTTCAGTTTTCCATATCTGTTTTTGTTTTTATTAATTTGTCAGAAACTCAGGCATGGATCAAAACTATAGTTTGTGTGTGTGTGTGTGTGTGTGTGTGTGTGTGTGTGTATACTACTTTGTTCTGTAGCTAGTGAGAATTCTCTGTATAGAAAGGGCTTGTTAGACAAGTATATGCTGATTTTATTATATGAAAATTTCTCCCCCTAAAACATGACTGTATTCTAATATAAAAGATAACTTTTTTTTCAAATATTGTACCAAATATTTTCCATTTGATTGTTTCTTATTACTATCTGTGAGCTAATTCGATTATTTCTATTACTTGTATGGATTCTTTTTACTATTGGTGAGCTAATGAAAGTGATTAAGAGTATGGTAGTCTGTTCTAAACCTACATAACTGTTATCTGAATACTTTGTTTTGGATTCTTTTTTTTTTTTTTTTTTAAAAAGGACATTATTGTATGTTACAATGTCCCAGGTCCCTCTTATGGATGTGTAGATAGAAGTACTAGATCTGTGGTATTAGACCTAAAGTAACATGAAAATCTGGAGGAGTCACAGATGCTTCCCAGATACATTGTGAATTCTCCTCTGCTCCTGTAACACATAGGCTTTCTATCTGAATACTTCTATTTACTTTCTAAACTGTTTCCTAATATACATGTGTTTCAATATATTGGGTTCTGATTGCATTGCAAATTAAAAAATAGAGAGTTTTATTGCTTTGGAATTTAGAGGCTCTTCTCTGCCATTTGGAGCTCTAAATCTGTATCTCAGGATAAAAAAAATACTAGAAAAATATTTTAAACATTAATTCAGTCAAAATATTTGACCTCCCATTATAGAAAATATATTTCCTACTAGATTTTTCTTAATTCTTCAGAAAGGTTTTATAATTATTTTATTAATTTTCAACTCCAATAAAATGTGAATATTAATGTTTTATTGTCTTAGTGCAACTCAAAGTCATACAATGAAAGAAAAATCAAAATCAGTTATATTACTTAAACCTTGCTCTTCCTTTTCTTCTCATTTTTTAAATTTTAGCTTCTGAAAACAGTGCTTTCTTGTGATTTGTCTTGCAATATTAGCAAAGAAATATTTTCTCTGACTTCTTATATTTATGTTCCCTAAACAAGAAAAGAAACATAGATTTTCAAATATAATGCACTCCACAGAGCAATAAATTAATAAAAACGCTAACATTTGATACTCACAAAATCAATTTAAGGTTAATAAACACAATACTTCTATTTGTATAAAACAGCTTACAGCTTGCAGTTTTATAGTGTACTTTTTAGTGCTTTATATGTAATCTTTATCCTAAAACCAAGATAAAAATTAAATTAAGATTAAATTTCATATCATTTACTCTATCAGACATATTGCTGCTGGCCCAACATTAGGTGAGCAAAACACTATAGTCTCTATATTTTTACCATTTTACTCTTTAATGGTAAAAATATAGAGACTATAGTGTTTTGCTCACCTAATGTTGGGCCAGCAGCAATATATCTGATAGAGTAAATGATATGAAAATCCATAGTATAGATGTAGCCACAAATTTTTCTTTATATAGTTTTTTAAATAAAGAATGCTCCATGTACTCCAAACATTAATGTCAATATGTGAAATTTCAGTTTTCTTAAATATTCTGAATTATTAAAGGTATTTGCTACTGTTTCAGATTTACAGGATGGTCAAGCTGTGCCACAGGATAAAATATAACATGAGTGTCATTCAGGGAGAGACCAGTGTATGGTT